TGGCTTTGCTTTCGCCGTCGCTCCTGTTTCTGTTTGTTTGTCCTTCCCCCCCCCCGAACGCTTCTAACTGCGGCCCGAGGAAGAAAAAGAAGCAGACGCCCGCACGCACACCGAAAAGCACCGTGTAGCTGCAACACGTCAGCATGCAGAAGGCTGCGCAGTCGTCGACGGCGTGCAGGTGATGCGCAGGGATCTGCTGAGGAGGTGTGTGTGTGTGTGTGTGTGTGAGGGAGGAGGGGGGGGGGGCTGCAGCCTCCCACTACGTAGCACAGTGAAGGAGAACAATCTATTGAATAATTCTCAATAAGGAATTCCTTCTAGAAGACGAACACGGCTAAAGCTGCACCGTCACGCCAACGTGACTCGTGACTTTTACTTTCACGCGTCGGGCGACTTTGTGGGAACGATTGTCAAATTGTTCTGAAGCGGAATGATATCTGGTGTCGGAATGAATGCAGGAATTAGTCCCCCGTCGGGGCCCTTTTTATTCTTACACGTCATAACGACAACGGTTCAGACAACAACTGATCGCTGAATCTGTGCAGCGGCCTCGGCTCGTGAATTCCAACCTGTCAGAGGCGGGCGGGTGGGGGGGAGGGGGGTCTTGCTCTTAGTCCATTTCCTGTTATATATATATTTAAAACCAATTACATAAAGAACGTGGGTGTGGGACTCTTTTTTTCAAAAATGTAGCTGCCCCCTCAAAAACCTCACACCCCAAGGCGAACTAGGTGTCAATATCGCAAGACGTTGTTCCACCTCGGGTCTGAGAGTTTCACATTGTATGTTTCCGTTCAAGGCTTCGGGGGCGATTATATGAATACAGCTTTTTTTTCGGCGCAAGTGTTTTTTTTATTTACCTAAATGAGCAAACTTAAGACACCGAAGGAGTGGGCGGAGAGCCGGGTTTGGTGTCACAACTGCAGGGTTGAATGAGTTGAAGTGTGTGTAGCTGCGCCGCAACACGGGCGACGTGGTGATGCAGCGCGCCGCTGCGCCGTCCCCGACGGGCCCTTTGTTGTGTTACACTTGCAGCAGTGTTGTTGTTTTTTTTTTTAAAGGAACTCTAGTGCCGAGCCGAGAGCGTCTTCTTTAAATCTCACCCATCTTCGATGGGTCGTCTCACAGTCACACACACACACACACACACACGCTGAGAAAAGGTGAGTTGGTAAGCAGCATCATGCAGCGTTTCACACGCGCCTGACCTTCAGGGCTCGACGAACCTCTGGCGCACACACTTCCTGTCGTCTGCTGGTTTCCTGTTTTTGTTCTAATGCAACCTGGACAGACGTGCCTCTCTACGCTCCCCTCTCAAAATGGAAAGGCGCAAACATATCGACACCTCGGCATCGGCGCATTTGTTGTTGCTTTTGTGCGTGTGTGTGTGTGTGTGTGTGTGTGTGTGTCCACCTGGTATCAGCCCGGCCAGTACTTATACAACCGCCTTAAGCGCAAACACCATGTCGGGTCCTTTATTGACAATATCAACAGAGATTACCCCTTGTGATATTTTTGCAGTTTGCTCGAGGGCGACAAGGCCCGGCAGCAGCGGAGGGTTCAGAGACTCCATCTCTGCAAACGCCGTTTTCTCTAAACTCCTTTTCCTTCCTTACCTCAGCGCGTCCCTCGCTCTCACCGCTCAGGGTTTTGTTGACACGACGGAGGTTGGATCGCCTCGTATTTGAGTAGAATCCAGTTAAGCGCAACGGAGGCGGGGTTTGTGAGATGGGCGATGTCGGCCATCTTTGCTTTTTATTGTTTTCAGACCAGAAAAAAGTGGTACACTAAACCTACGTTATAGGTAAACGAGGGGGAAATAACCCGCCTTTTGTAGAATGGTTATTTTTAGAGTTATATGTAGAACGCAATAAGTACATAGACAACTTGAGTGCAGCAGAGATGGACTTCTCCAACTTTAGTGTGCAGAATAAGAGAGACTTCCCACTTTAAGGCTCATACATTTTAAAGTGTGAATTATGATGTGGTCTTTGCAAGATAAAAATGTTCATGTTGCATTTATTGTATAATAATTAAGCCACACACACACACACACACAGCCATAGGACTTTTTAAACTTTAAGATCTGTAATTTGTTGTGTTGATTCCAATTGACAAGTTGAGCAAAACAAACTGTAAATAGTTTAAAAAAAAGAATTTTAGGAGAGACGTCTCATTGCAAATGAAACATCTTATAAAAGTCACTGGAGTTTTTTCCTGTTTTGTAATACATGTAAAAGCTGTTCTGTAAATGAATCATGTATTCTGGGATTCATTTGAGTTCATCAGTCATTTAGTAATTTAATTGAATCTCAGAAATGACTTGAGGTCAAAAAGTTCAGCTTAACTTTAAAGTGGTTTGGTCACAAATAACTAATGTAAAATGTGTAGTCAAATAAAAACTACTTATTGAGCTAAAATATACTATATATATATACTAATATATAAAATATACTATATATATATATATATATATATATATATATATATATATATTGGACGTCTGTCTTGCTGTGTGTGTGTGTGTGTGTGTGTGTGTGTGTGTGTGTGCGTGACAGAGGGCGAGCATCTGTGCGTTAGCCGGTAATAAATGCAGGACCGCCTCACTCTAATCAAGCTGATTAGAAATTCTTGCGCGCACCCGGAAACCGCGCCGCTGATCCTCCTCTCAGTGCGTGTTGTTGCGTTGTATTTGTGTTTTTGTGAGTCGGTGTGTGCGGTTTCTCTCCCCGTCCACTTTCTCCACTCGTATTTGTCTCCGCTGGGACTTTCTTCCGAAAGATGCGGAACAGTCCTCCTGTTTCTTTTTAAAATTATTATTATTTCTTAGGGATTATTTCTTCCTCAGACACACACACACACCACCCGTCCGACACACTTATTTTTGTAATTTATTATTTTGTAATTTATTTTTCCTAACACCATCCAACCCGCTTCCCCTCCCCTCCTCCCCCCCCTTTTTTCCACGCTATTCGAAATGAGGAGGAGAGAAAAAGGGGGAGAGCACAAGCGGCCGCCGCAGCGAGGAGAGGAGAGGAGAGGAGAGAGGGGGGAGTGATGAGTCAATACAACTAATAATTTAATGGGGACAGAGAGGGAGAGACGGGGCGAGAGTGTGAGAGAGAGAGAGAGTGGGGAGGGAGAGAGAGAGGGAGAGACAAGAGAGGGAGACAGAGAGAAAGAGGAGCTCCGTCCGGACGCCGATCCCCGACCGACAGGACACCTCCTCCCACTACTACCGCGGGGCAGCTTCCCGATGCCTCCACGGCGGCGCCTCATCGCTGACGCTCGACGCACGGAAAGTAAACGCGCACTTTTTACCCCATCCAGTCACTATCCTTGCACTCTCTTGAGCTTTCATTTGCGCGACGGTCTCCACGTGATATCCCCGTCGACCTCGCGCGCGCGCGCGACAGCGAGGTCCCACAGTGGGTTATTCGGGTTGTTAGTATCGCGCACCGGCGGTGGGCTCGAGCTAGGCTCCCCCCCCCCTCCCCTCCTCTCCTCCCCCTCCCCCGGAGCGTTGAGCTGTTTTGTGCGCGTCGGTTCGCGTCCCCCCGTCGCGTCGCTCGTTGATGGAGGCGGCGGCGGCGGCGGCGGCACCAATGTTCGCCCATCGCGGTCCATCTCGAGCCGGTCGCCTCTCTCCCGCAGACCCGCGCCGCCTCTTTTAACGCGAGTATTTTCTAGACAGCCGTCCGCTGTCATGCACACGTAAAGGGGGAGAGAAAGAGGGGGAGACCCGCAGGGAGAGAGAACGGGAAGCGGGAGTTGTTTGGGCTTTTTTCTGTTCTTTTTTTTTTTTTTTTTTTTTTTACGCTGGCCAAACTTGGAGAAGACGTGTTTTCCGGCCGGTGTTTTATGCTCCCCGGTGCCCCAGTGCTGCGGTTCAGGTTGGTTTGGAAGATTTTTCACTTGACTTGCCCTCCTCCTCCCCTTTTAACCCCCCATTTAGGGGGAGAGGGGGGGGGGCGAAGTGTCAACTTAAACTATTGCTCCTGTGTGTGTGTGTGTGTTTATTTTAAAATCCTGACGTGGATTCCGTATTGCCCCTTTATTTGTGGGGAATTATTTGCCTCATTGCATGTTTCTCCATAGAGAGGGGGGTTGTGCAGATTGTGATCTTTTTGCTTGGGGTAGGGGAGAATGTGGGGGTGGGGGGGGTTGATTTTGCCCCAATTTTTTTCCACTCTTTGACATCAACATTCCAGCTCCTGTTGATCGGCGCGTGCAGAACCCGGGTCGGACTCGTCAGGAGATGAATAAATGAGCTGTGTGTCCGCGCTTTGAACCCCACCTGCTCCATCTTTCTCCTACAGCAGCTTTGTGGTTTCCCTAAAGCGGCCCACTGCCCCTCCGCCAATGCACAAACTCATTTTTTCCCCATGATCATCGCTCCGCATCTGGGAACATCTAAAAACAAAAGTTCTCACCTGTCAAGTCGGAGTGATTGTGTGTGTGTGTGTGTGTGTGTGTGTGTGTGCGCGCGTCACGGTGACTCGACCACCGAATGACCTCTTTTTCTCTTTTTCCTCCCCGATCTGAGCGCGCGCCCCGTCAGCAGCAGACCCCCTTTTTCCTTGAGCTGCCCTGTATCCGTTCAAGTGGAATCATTCCGGTGCACCAAAAACCGGGTCTTGTTTGCCCACCCCCCCACCCCCTCCCTCTTGCGCGGGGAATCTCCAGTGGTACGGTCATACATAATACATGCTTAAAAAATGGGAGCATTACAAGCGGCACGAAAACGTCACCGCGGCCCGCTGACGCCGTGACTGAAGCGGATTGACAGTCGTCGCCGTAACGGGCCGGTTCTCAGATTTCAATTACTTAAAGCACTTATTTCTTTGGGGGGGGGCTCTATAAAAACGTCCCATCACGTCTGAGCTTGTCGGTGACACCGACACAAAGGATATTTGTGTGCGCTGATTCTTTTGTCTTTCCGCCGACCACTGAGTCCATCGCTGTGTGTCTCCCCGCTCCCCCCCCCCCCAGGTGAGAGTGAGCAGAGGCGCTGAGAATGATGGACCATCTCAGCCAGGCGTGCCTGGGCAAGGAGAAATCCGACCTGGTCTAACAGCATGGCGGAGCCAAAGTCCCCGCCGGGCAAGCTTGTCCCGGCTGGAGCAAAACGGCAGCCCCCTTGGCCTGGCCAGGCTGGGCAGCACGGGGGCCAAACTAGCCGGCGTCCCGTACAAACCCACCGGCCACCTGCTGAAGACCTGCCACAAGAGAGGTGAGAATGAAATGTGATGTTTTGCCGATCGTCCTCGCGTCTCACGTGACCGTCAGTTTGGGAGTTTGGGAGTTTTATCGCACCGTTTCTTGGACGGAGGAGTCAGCTCGAAGTCTTTGTCTGGGATTCTACTTCTGATGCAGAAGAAGAGCTTAGCGGATGAATGCATTGGTAGATCCACTCGCTGTTCCCTCCGCTTCTCAAATGTGCTTTTCCTTGTCTCATGTGACAGAAAGTGGAACCCTCTGGGGGCAAAACGGAGCAAAATTTCTTTTTTGCATTTTATAGACTATTGATTAATTGAGAAAAGATTGGCTGGTTAATTCGCAGCACTGAAATGTGTAACTATTTAGTGGGTACAGACTAATTATGAAACGGATATAGCTGAACTGACTCTGCGTGTGCGTGAATTCGAGAAGAATAAACCACGTAAATAGAGGAAAGCTATTTAAATGCAATTTAAATAGCCCCCCCCCCCACCTCCCACACACACCACCTTCCACCCACCAACAAGCCCTGCACACTCTCTAAAACTCTTAAACCTTTTTACCACAATGTGTCTTTGGTTCTCTCAGCGAAAACACACACACACACACACACACACACGCTCTCCCACTCATTTGCCCAGACAATAGCTGCTATAAGAGCACGGGGAGATTTGTTCCTGCGTCACCGCCCCGACATTTGTTTATTAAGGGGAAACTTTCGTCCCTCTTAAGAGCCGCACTTGTTTAAAGGCAGCCTTTACTTTGGGATTATGACATATCTTTTTAATGAAAACTGGTGTCGTCTGTTAAAAGAACGCTAAGCGATCCAAACTAATATGAAGCTTTTATTTTTTATGATTATGTTGTTGTTTGTTTCTTTCTTGGCGGGTTGGAAAATGAGTTTAAAAGCGGCAGGTTTCGGTGTTGTAATAGCGCTTGGCAGCTCCTCTGTTTGTTTGTTTGGCTGCTCGGCGTTCCTTTGGGCGAGAGGGACTCGGGGAAACTCTTGGAATGTGGCTGCGTGAGCGTCCTCCGATGGGCCGTTTCTCTCCTTCGCTCCTTTAATCTGCGCGCCGCCCTCCAGCTGAGAGAGCTTCACTCTCCTGCCCCTCCCATCATCGCCCGCTTCCCTCGGCCTCCCGCGACGCCCCGATTCCCCCCCCGGGGGGGCCTCCTCGCCGCCCTCCCTCTCGCCCCGAGTTTCTTCCGCGGGTGGAGCGAGGCCGAGGGCTCACAGCGGGCATTGTGTCGGAGCCCGAAACAATATTTACCGCTGCCCTCTCTGGGCTCCCTGCAAACAAAGCTGGTATTGATCCCCCAAATGAACCTACACAGCAGTCTTTATTGTTAGATCTTTATCTATTAAAATCAGGGGGAGGGGGGCGGGTGAGGCGGGTGGGGCGGGGGGAGAAAAGCAGCTCTTTCAGCACATTCCCTGGCATCTGTGGGCTTATTGATTGTTTTGCCAGGCCTGTGTGCATCTTGTGGAATGCCAGCGATCGGGAAAAATATTCGATGGTTTGGGTTGGCGAGGGCGATAAATGTGCACGTTCAGGTGAGCGGGGGGGCGGCACCTCGTGAGCAGCGCGGGATTCACGTCGGACAGCGAGCTGTGGACGCTGTGTGACGGCATTTCAGATTTTCAAACTGAGACTTTTGAAAAGGCCACGTGGTCCCAACGCCCTTAAACCTTCTTGCGTTGCGGGGGACGTTATTTTAAGATGAAACTGGTTTATCAGGTGATATTTGCGGAGCGTTCGGCAGTCTTTGGACAAGGATCGCTCATTCCACTCAACAGCAGAGCCACTGTTGACACAGACAAGTAGACCTCAGGGCGCAAAGGTGGAAAGGGATTCGAAGCAGTGCATCATGGGAAGATGGTTTTTGGTTGGCAGGCAGAAGGAGAGTCTTTGATCCAAGAACAAGCAGGTAATTGTGGCAGAAGGAGACGTACGAGTGGAAGGATTTCTGTGGCCGCTGTTCACGCCGAGCTAAAAGGTCGACGCTCTCCGTCACGCATCGCCTATTTAACTCCACAAACCCCGTCAACGCAGCAGCGCCGAGATATTAAAACCTGCGAGAAGAAAAGACTGAAGGAACTGGGCAGGTTCCTGTGCAGCCCGGGAGTCTTGACTGCTCGGATGGGAAAGTCGGCCCATAAAAGATGAACAACGCCGCGGGTCCAAACCCATCCGAACGGGTCGTTTCCGTGCACTACTTCCACTCAGCAGCAATCTAATCACGCCACTCATAACCCCTCGGCGCGCAACCTCAAGTGTAACTCAATCGCACAGGCGGCGAGAACGGATCTCGTCCCCCCCTGGCGGGCACGCAGAATCATGCCGGAGGTCGGAGTTTGCAAGGGAAGAAATGTGAACCCTGTTGTTGTTGTTGTTGTTGTTGGGCCCTCTGACTGGCGCCTCCGTGTTCCCCAGGCAACATGCTGCCCGTGTTCTGCGTGGTGGAGCACTACGAGAACCCCATGGACTTCGACAGCAAGGAGGAGCACGCCGAGTTCGTCCTGGTGCGCAAGGACATGCTCTTCAACCAGCTCATCGAGATGGCGCTGCTGTCGCTGGGTTACTCCCACAGCTCGGCGGCCCAGGCCAAAGGTGAGCGGCCGCGCCCCCCCCCCGCCCCCCGGCCCTCAGCGCTCGTCTTCTTCACTCAGGGTCTAAATGCGCAGGCGTGCACATTAAAGTGTTTACATTTCTGTGTTGTGCATGTAACAGTAGCACAGACACACACTTGTATGGTATATTTTCATACACACTCAGGGAGCCGGTGGGTGGGTGGGGCAGGTGGGGGAAAGGGTCCGCTAATTGCACTTGAGCACACGCTGGCAGAGGGTGGCTGGCTGTTTCAAGGTGCCTCTTATATGCTCTTTTATTATAGCCTGTCCATCACACACACACACACAGACCGTGGTCCCCCTCCCCCTTGAGTTTGGGGTATTCTCAGGAGAAACCGTGTACGAAGGAGTGCTTACGGTGTTGTGAAAGCACCTCAGTGACGTGGAGCTGAGATGCTAAAATGAACTTTGTCCTAATGCGCTTTCCCTCCCCCTTTTCTCTTTTTTTAAATGTCTCGTGTCCGTCGGCCTCGTCGCTCGCGTGCGTGCGCACGTTCATTCCGTGGTGCAGGTATGATTCAGGTGGGGAAGTGGAACCCCGTCCCCCTGTCGTACGTGACAGACGCACCGGACGCTACGGTGGCCGACATGCTGCAGGACGTCTACCACGTGGTCACGCTTAAGATCCAGCTGCACAGGTACGAAATACACACACACACACACACACGTTTTCCTTTACAGTTAGCTATACTAGAAGCTAACACACTCGAACGCACACATGTGTACCAACTATTTTCTTTTACCTGCCGTACCGCCCACGAAAGTGTGGTGTCATAACCTAAAACACACACTGACACACACTCTCACACACACACACCAGTAATGCTTGAACACACTGTACAGTTCTACCTATTAGCCTTTGCTTCCAACACTCGTACTGTGTCTTGTCTGCCCGGAGGCTGCTGCCAATCTGACGATACCCTCTGCATGCTTGAAACTGAGAATAGCTCTGTTACTCACACACACACACACACACACACACACACACACACACACACACACACACACACACACACACACACACACACTAAACAGACTGACCTTTTGCAGGAAATGCAGAATAACCCATTTGAATAGTGAAAGATTCCTTGTGTAGGAACACAGTGATCTGTTTGTTAATTTACACCGTCATGTTCGGGGAACAAGGGCCGTCAATAACTATATTCAAATACATTTTTGAAAAAAATATATATATAATGGTGAAAAAAGCAGAACTGCCACAGCTGCCTCACGCACCGCAGCCCCTTTGGTCAGGTGAACGTAACCCAGCGTAACACAAAGGCCTTCGAGGCAAAAGGTCGGCTTTTTTGCGAGTAGCTGGAATGCACGTGATACACAAGAACAAACACTCTCGTCACCAATGTGGGCACTGATCCCGGTGCTAAACATGTGGCTTATACTGCAATGAGCGAACGTGTAGATTTTAGTGAGTGATGTTAAACACGGGCACTCGACATCTGACGGTAACAGCTTTTGAATCAAGACTTTAGCTCTTTACAGGATAAATGAATCAAATGAATGGAACGGCCAACCGGAGACCGCGCAGGGCTAAAAATGACTCTGCAGCAGATGAATACGCGGTTGTTCACCTGGAATAGTTCCATAAATAAACCCGGCTGCACCGGCTATTTTAGGCCAAATATACAGCATTTTCTCACGCAATCTACATGGCGTATAATGATGAAGACTAACAAGCTCCTCGCACTGAGCACCGCTAGCTGCCTGGTGCCATCACTCACCATACTGTACGCTAGCTGCTGCTCTGTAGGAGTGAGGCTTCGCTTTTATTTATACACCGGCATTTATAGACGCGGACGCAAACAGACTCATGTGAGGGTTAGAGGGGCGCACACACACACACACACACACACACACACACACACACACTGCCTGATGTGAACACGTCCACCAGCCAGAATACAGAAGGTTGTGTTTATTCCCGGCATGCTAGCCTTGACTGCACGGATGGCTGTCTTTCTCCACTACCTCCCTTCCATCTCCCTCCCTCCCTCCTTCCCGCCTCTCGTTCACTTCCTGCTCCCCAGAGGCTTTCTAGCTGCTGGAGCAGTTTTAAGGTGTTCTGGAAAATCTATTGTGTGTGTGTGTGTGTGAGAGGCTGTGTGTTCTCTCGCGAGCAGATGTTCGCCCCGACCGCTGCGTGCATATCACCCCCACCCCCCACCCCTCCCTCCCCCTTGCTCGTTTTTGAACACCCCCGCTGGCAGATTTACGGCCCTCTCGTGCACTCATCACCCTTCAGGAGCCCGACGTCTCATCTCGTCTCGGGAGAGCGATGAGACGTCGGGCGTCCTCGCGTTAAGTCAAGTGTCCAGGCGGGTATTTGAGGGGGAAAAGTAGTTTGTCCGGCGTTCCTCCATGCGGCCTATAAATCTACTGCCACTCTGCTGCGTATTGTTGTCAGTATTGTTATTGTGTTGTATTTGCCCCCCTCCCTTGCCCCGACCGCTGCAGACATCTAGCCAGCACAACGAGCCAGGAAGGTGGAAGTAACACGGAATAATAGTCGCCACATGCAGCTGATGTATAATTCATGCATCAATCCAGCAGATGTGTTGTATAAAGTAATTAACTAATCAGAACAATCAGGAGAGAGAGAAAGAGAGGGAGAGAGAATATGAAAGAGGGAGGGATGGAAAGAGGCAAGCAGAGAGAGACGGAGCAATCTCCAGATGCATCTGCTTGATGCGCCAAATGAAATCTGTCTGTCTTGGAGGGCCGCTTGCAGGAGGAGGAAGAAACAAAAAAAAGTGTTCGTCTCTCCGTCTCTCCGGTCTCCTCCCCCCGTCTCTGCTAATCGGTCCGATCGCTCCGCTCATTCGGCCTACGTCTATTTCACGCGGGCGTAGACGGCTCTAAACCTCTGCTTTGGGCGGAGTTGTGGCAATTTGGATGATGCCATTAATCGTCAAATTGTATACCTCGTTATGGGCTCCGGTAGCATGTGAGGAACTCGATCAACACCAGTCATCGATCAGGAAAACGATCCACACTCCATGTTTGTACTCACTGTTTCATCACAGTGCTGAGGACCACTCGGTAGCTCCTCCCAGATTCAAAGATTGGTGTTATTACCCATTTGCTCCATATATCAGAATGAAGATAACATGGTTGTGATATTGGCTCGCTGAATTTGTGACCCGTGTGGGGTTTTTTTTTGTATCAATTTACTCAAAGATACCATCGGGCTGCTGGCTCTCCTTTTCTATCTTTGTCTCTTCTCCATCTGAATTGTTTCTCATGATCTCTCCTCACCCCTCTCTCCCTCCCTCCCTCTCACTCTCTCTATACAACTCCCCTCTCCCAGTTATTGTCTCCGTCGTCGAAGCCGTTCCCTCTCTCTCTACAGTTGTCCTAAGCTGGAGGACCTGCCGCGCGAGCAATGGAGCCACTCTACAGTAAGAAACGCCCTCAAGGGAGTTACTCAAAGACATGAATCAGAGCTCTCTGGCTAAAGAATGTCCCTTATCACAGGTGCTGAAGCCCAGTCTGCTTATTTAAAAAAATTAAATTAAAAAAAGAAAAGCGCGCCCTCCGCCCCTGCTACTATACACAAACACCCCCTCCCCTCCCCCCTTATCTCCATCACCTCTGTCTTTGATCCTGCACTTATCAAATGCCCTGAGTTTGATCAATTGGCAAAGAGAATCGGCATAGAAAATCCAAATCAATGGCTCATTGTCATCGGTTTGCCGCAAGATTTTTGGTTTTGTTTTTCTTTTACCGCCCCCGACACACACACACACACACACACACACACACTGGTATGCAACGGCAGCCAAAAAGCAGAGGTGTTGTTGAACGTATGGTTATTGTTAGATAAACATTGGCCTAAACCCAGAACGATCTGGATGCTTTTTCTTTTTCCCGACCGTTTAGTTTATCCTCAACATTTCAAGCCGGGCGTAGTATGTGCGCACGTCCACACGTCAGGTGTTCTGTCTCTGGCTCCTGTGTGTGTGTTTTTTTTTGTGCGCGTGCCCGGGAGGTTGTACAGAAAGCACCAGCGCCGGTATTGTATTAATGCGGTCAGTATATCATGGAGGCAGCTCTGGAGTGAATGGAATGAAACGGCCGTATATCTCTCACAAGGGCCACAGTGTGCATGTGCGTGTGTGTGTGTCTCTCACAGTGCAGACTGTGTGTACTCTGCTGGAGTGTGTTTTTGAAACTCATGAGAAAGTGCTATTTGTGTGTGTGTGCGTGCGTAGGTGCCTTCTGCATGAAGCCAGCTCTCCTCCCAGGCCACCGTATGGTCACCTGGAGACCCTCGTTTGTGCCGCGTCGTGTGTGTGTGTGTGTGTGTGTGTGTGTGTGTGTGTGCGCGTGTTTGTGTGTTTAGCCGGGCGTGAGCAGTGCGCTGATGATGTAAAGAGTCCCATGGTGGCGTTCAGGCGGAGCCCAGCCCGGTCTGGTAATCACCCTGTTTACGGTCCATATGTGAAGACGGCTCAGAGGGGAGCGAGCGCCGGCTCCCAGGATCCAACGCGCGCTTTCACCTACGCACACATCTCAAATTAAACCGACGGTTGTTTTAGCTCGTCGGCGAGGATGAAAAAGCGGCCAGGAAATAGTTTGGAGTGGAATCTGTTGGCCTTTTATGTGTTTTAGCAGCAAATTTTGGCCTAAATAGAGCTCAAAATGGCATTTTATATTGCTGCTTGAGTCTCTGCAGCTTCGGCCGCTGCAAACCGGTAACACGTCATTGTGCGTTGTAAGTCTCTGCTGGTAAACAGTTCAAACCTGAACCTACAGAATGCGTAACTGCAAACCCAGATATTCCCCCCCCCTTAGTGTGAACAGTCACTACTTCCTGTCCGGATAGAAATCACGTGTCTTCATGGGACTTTTCTTTTGGCTTATTCCAAAGAGAAGAAATACCAAAGCGGTCAGATGATGTGCATGTATCTGCCTTGTTCAAACATGGCAGCCGTGGGGGGGGGGGTTGACATCTGTTACTCTGTGGGGGCTTCGTGTGGCCCACGACCCCCCCGTGGAGCGGAGGCTTGTTCCTCCTAAAACCCGACCGCTTCAGTGGCCCGGTCGTCACGATTGAGGAACGCAAACACCCCCCCCTCCCCCCACCCGACACCAACCTCCCTGCTCTGAGACTCGTGATGAGCAGGAGCAAAGCCGCGGATGCATTGGCACCCCCCCAAAAAAATATATAAATGAGTGGGAGGAGAAAAGGGGCGTTGCAGACGGAGCAGGAGATTGGCACCTTTTAAGGATTAGTGTTCCCTTGATATTCTTCCCTGTAATCCGGGACCCGGAAGGGGAGGGGTCCACAGATGAGGAAAAGGGAATTTAGCCCAGGGCGGGGGGGGGGGGGTGGGGGTGAAATGCTGCCTTTGTGCGGGGTCTCGTCGGACACATTTGGACTCTTTTGTCGAAAGCGGCGGGTGGAGCAGGTTGCGCTCTGTGAGAGAACTCTGAGAAAAGGTATTCGCTGGCGCTCGTCGTCAATCCCTCACAGGAAGTGACTCGGAGCCTCGAGGTTCACTCGGAGGCTCGCTGCCGGAATTTAAACTCCCCCCCAATTCTGCCACCCAACCCCCCCCCTTCCTCCCGTCGGCCGGGCTGCTTGTTTTCTTCTATGAGGTTGCTTCCAAGCTCAGCAACCCACTGGTCGTGTTCGCGGAAACTATGGCAACAAACGAGATCCCCCCCCTACCAACACCACCACCGAACCCCGCTCTTTCCCCTTGCCACCACCTCTTCTTACCCCCCCCCACCCTGCTCGTTCTCACTGGGAGGCCCCCTGATGCACCAGCTGCTGCGTTGCGTAGCAGCAAATAGTCATCAAAATGCCATCTTGGTGGGCCTACACCAGCTCGGCAGCCATAGGGGCAACCAGGGTGTGTGTGTGTGTGTGTGTGTGTTGGATTGAAGGGAGAGAGGAGTAGGGGGGAAAGGAGGGGGGTGTTGAGGGTGAATAGGGTGCCATAATTTGAGATGTTGGCGAGAGACGAGGCGCAGTATTGCGACCGGGATGTGCTTTTTCCCCCCCAGTCGACTCAAGACATCAGGCTCAGTTGGAATGTGTACGTGTGTACGTGTGTGTATTCGTCTGTGTCGGTCTGCAGGGGTTGTGCACCACACCCTAACGCTGGCAGCTGGGCGCCTCCAGTACCTGCCTGCTGCACCGCTGTTCTCTGACACACACACACACACACACACACACTCTCCCTCTTCCGGTCTCCCATGATGGGGAGTGGAGTAGATGTTGGGGACCGATAGCAGCCCAGTGCCACTTCCTGGTCTTGCTGATAAGCTCTCTGTGCTGCAGATGGCTATCACTTAAAGGTCCATGCACACAGAGACACGTGCACGCACGCACGCACACACACACACTCAGCCATGCTACCTGTTGACAGCCCTCCTGCTGGCTCCGCAGTGGCAGCAGAGGCTCCGGTTATCTGCTTGATTTCACTTACGTACGTACGTATGCATGTGTGTTTGACAGAGCAGTGGGGAGAGGGAGAATAGGTGTGTGTATGTGTGTTGTTTAGTTCACACACACACACACACACGCCGGGCCCCCTGTGAGAGGTAGAGTGATGTATTGAGGGAGAGGGCTGATTAATGAGGAGCGTTTATTAGAACATCTGTGTCAAAGATGGCGGAAAAGAGGGAGGGAGGGAGAGCGAGAGAGGAACCACAGTGTCTTCTGCAGGTCTCTCGTTGTGTTGCCTGGAGCCGCCTCAGCCCAGATATACTGTAAATAAAACATGGCAGGCTGGGGGAGAGTTCCTTAAAGCACAACTCTTCCTACTTGTAATACACGTTTCTTTTTGGGCTTTGTACTTACCAAAGAACCCGTTTCAACTGTAAAATGTGGTTTGCTGATTGTCAGCATATGAATGAACAGGAATTATCATTTTTAAGACCAAAGAAGGTTTTATTTTCTAATGCCAATAATAAATCCAAAAGATAGGAGCTGCTTCATGCATAAATGTATGATCCATTTAAAAAGGGCAATTCTGACTTCCTCACCCTAACCTGAACTCTATCAGCGCTTCTCATTGAATGAAGTCTTTTCATGGATCTATTAAGGGCTGCTTTGTTACATCATGCAAGTCCAAATGCAGACCTCTTCACGCTCCTGTTTTTTTTGTTGTTTTTTTTCCTCATCATGATGACGGCATGATGCACCGCAGCATGGTTTGCCCAAATTCCCATCCAACTGACAAACAGGCGTAACAAAGGGCAACCACACATGCTCCATCCGGTTCAAACAAGCGTGTAACTGCCTCTGTTTGCTCTTAGCTGCGTGTCCATCGTGGTTCTGTGGTGTGTTAAATTGTGTTTTCAGCTCGGTCTCATATCTGCAACTTTTATCACACTTAACGGCACAGAGAAAGAGATACAAACGACCCCATTAGCATTAGCACGGAGCTAACAGCTAAAGTTATACCAGGTTGAATTACGATATAAAGCTATTCATTCAAGATTTGTATTGAGCTACAATTGAATTACAACGCTATCAAGATGCCAAAAACTTTGAATGAAGTTAGTGTTAATTGAAGGAGATGTTCTCTCAGCTGTAGAATAGATTTAGAGGGGAAAGTATGACCTTTTTAGCTATAAGCAGCTTGTTATGTATTTTAATTCTAATTCTACTATTATTGACTTTTTTAATGGAAACAGCCACCATAGACGACAATAACAAACTCAAAGATGAACTTTTAGGACATTTGTTAACAATGACTTCGGGACGGTTTTAGTCATTTTTGGGGATGGTGATGAAAAACAGCCGTAGTTACTCGCATCAAATCCCAGCTGGGTCTAAATTGAAAAAGAATATCAGAATAATGAGCTAATCAGAATGGATTTACCTTCAGCACCGTCGGGTAGCACGGCTTTGACAGAGGTCAGGAGGTCAAAGTTCGACCGGCCTCTCTCAAGCCACAGCTGGCTTCCTTCTGCCTCCTTTTGTGCAGTAAAGCAGGAGAAGCAGAATCGTCTCTTTCCCGTTCATTGTGCTCGCACCTCCGTGCTGCTCTGCCAGAAGGCCCCCCCCCGCCCCGCGCCGTCCTCCGAGCGCATATATTATAGAAAATGATAAAGATGGCATACCTGTAATTTCAAAACAGATGGTTTGGTTCTTTTGAATATTTATAACAATCAAAAACATTTTTTTTCCCGCACCGACCTCGCTATTCGCCCGCCGGCCAGCGAGGTGTTAAAACATTCATTTTAATGAAAGTGGCAGGGAAAGAAAAATATCGTCTCTTTTGTTGTTTCGGCGTGTGAAGGAAGCAGCGAGAGGGCAGAGGAGGGAGACGGGTGGGGGGGAAAGCGGCGTGCTCGCTGCGACCCTCCATCCGCTTGAAGTCGTTGTCTTTAACAGATTGTATAAATAAAGAGCTGAAAAATGAAAGAGGTTCGTCTGTTTGCGTCGCCCGGCTCCCCAGATGCTGATATTCAATAAGCCGCTCTCTCGCCTTTTTCCTTTTTCAAGGTAAATATAATTCCTGCCGTCTGCTCTTTCCATGTCGGCACTCGGAACTCGGTTGACCTTAAAATTTACCCGCTCGGAAAAAACAAAAAGAAATGTTCAGACAAACTCAACGGCATTTGATAAAGATAAAACCTTGCTTGATTTAATTTCTTTCACCTTCAGAGGATCAGGTCCAAAATGACTGCATGTCTGCTACTTTTCAGTTGGCTTTTTAAAATTTTTATTTTTTTAGTGCTGGGTTTTTAACCGTGTCCCTATCTTTTCTATTTGTTTTGACAAGCTACAGTGTTAATGCATGTTCCACAAGCTTTAATATTATGTCTGCATTTTCCACAATGAGAAACTAAAGTCTCTCTCTCGTTCCCTCTCTCCCTCTCAATCAATCCCTCTCTTTCAGAGTATGATTTCCTCCATTGTGAACAGCACTTACTATGCAAATGTGTCGGCGGCAAAGTGTCAGGAATTTGGGCGCTGGTATAAACATTTCAAGAAGACAAAAGATATGATGGGTAAGCAAAACGGAGGGGTGCAAAGTATGGCGCGCACACACACACACACACACACAATCACACCAGTCGTCATTGCAATATGTTCCCTAACCAACCGTCTCTTTGTCTCGCCGCTGTTGCGTGGGGCAGAAATACATTTTTATCTTGTTATCTAATAACTCAGGATTACTCCGCAGTTTTGCGGTCGAACGCGGCGTTATCTCGGATTTATCCTTTTATTGCTTTAACTAACAGCAACGCCTGAGCCAAACGAAGGCCTCTGATTGTTTCATTTCTCCGTTTATGCCTCCACCATTGCTGTGACAAAAGGCAGCGATGACTTCAGCCGGGCCGAGATTCAATTAGATTTCCTTATCAACGCGTGCTTTATATTATCACTCCCCAAAAAATAAAAACCCTTTGACCCGCCAGGAAATGAGGTTGTGTGGTACAAGTTGCACCCCAGCTGCAGATAGAATTCCGCTTTATTTTTTATGTCTTTTGATTAAGCAGAGCACCACTCTCAAAGCAGGGTAATGTTGAGATATTAGCTTTAGCAATCTGTTGAACAATCCCTGTTTTTTTGCCTTTGCCGGGATGGCAGATGAGATATTGCATCAAAATGTTTTCACAGCCTTCATGCAAACAGCGTGTTGTGATCACATCTTATCTGATGTTTCTTTTTTTGTCTTTCCGCTGCTTCTGTTAAAGTGGCAGCATATGCCGAGCGACATTATTTACTCCTACACGTTCCTCCGTCACAATTGTTCTGTATGGTTTTCACTCTCCTCCAAAAAAAAAGAATAAATAGCCGGCGCTGCCGCAGCTGCTGCCCGGGTGACGCTGGCGCTTTAAATGTCATATTTCTGCTTAGCTGGAGTGGGAGAGAAGTACAGTAGGAAGCTTTTACCCTGTGTATCTGTCCTCACAACTGTGTGTGTGTGTGTGTGTGTGTGTGTGTGTGTGTGTGTGTGTCCTACCATACGGCTGTGCAGGCATGCGCCAACCGTCCCAGCTGGAGGGCTACCTGGGGACGTGTGTCCTCCGCGAGAGCCCGCGTGCCAATGCACTAGGTATGTCGCAACACACACACTGTTGGTTATTACGCTACGGAGGTCCTCGCATTAACAGATTAATTCCATAATCTCAGCCGAAAGACGGTAGTGGCTCGTGTTGCTGCAGTGTAAGCGCATTCTGATAGATATGGGCTGAAAGTACATAAACAAACTGAATTGACAAACTTGTGAGGCGCTTTATTCCCTCCTTAATACCCACAGTTACTGACTGTGTTTCTGCATGGACTTAATCTCAATTGAGATCTAAATCCAATAAACCAAATAGCACTTAATGTCACATCTAAATGAAAAATCACTTATTAATTTTGTTTGGGGATTTTTGGGGGAATTCTGGGAAACGTCTCAACTAGAATACATTTAAATTCCTATACCTTTTTGGCAAACCGCTTTAACTCCTCCTTTTTTCGCGGGGTCCCTCTGGGGTCCTGACGAGAACAAATCCCCCCCCCCTCCCCACTCGAACGCCGAAGCAGCGCTAACATCTCCAGATGAATTCACACAAACGTTGGCTCACAAGGCCCTCAGGTGCCCCCCCCACCCCCACCCCTCCCCTCCTTCCACACACCCCCGACCTCAATATTCATGACGGGCTGCTGTCTGCCATGCGTGGCCCCGAATGGCAGGAAGAGAAAGAGCTGGTGAAATGCCAAGTTTGAGGGGGCTGCAAGACAGAGCGGCTCGGTCATCCCTTTGTGCCTTCACGCCGTTTCTTTTACGTTCCTTGTCTGTTTTTTCGGGCAGTTCTGCGCCTGAAGTCAAGTGGAAATAAGTACCTGTTCGCAGGTGCTGGCACGCCGCCCCGCCGCTCCGGCAGCTGACGTGGCGTCAGTGTGGCCGGCAGCGAGCGCGGCGTCTCTTCTTTTAAGGGTGCAAAGACACCAACGGAGGAGAGAGAGAGAGAGAGAGTTGGGTCACTCTGTACGTCCTCCCTTCCCTTCTCTCTCGCTAACACCCCCCCCCTCCCTCCCTCCACGCCCCCTCTCCCTCAGCCCACATCCCATTCCCATTGTGTGTTTAATCCGGGGCTCTTTTGTGGCAGGATTCCACATGAGGACTCCCGCTTCTGTGGCAGCCTTTTTTTTTTTTTTTTCTCCCAGGGCCTGCCATGCTCTTCTGTCACCCCCTTCTCTTTTCAATTTGCATGGAAATGCCTCTCGGTGTGCCTGTGTGCTTGTGAGCATTGCCCCCCAGCAGTCCGTGCAAGAGCACACACACACACACACACACACACACACACACACACACACACACACACACGTACGAGTGAATAGAAACGCCAAACCATCAGAGCCAGGGAATGCCAGGGATTATGGGAAGAGATGTGATTATTACCAAAGATTTTTTTATTTATTTTTATTTGTTTCTTCCCCCCACCAGCTTCCATTTGTTTTCGACAAAACGCTCAATAGACCCGTCTTGGCCGGGTGTTTTGTGCTCGCTGACAGTTAAGAAACAGTCAGCTCAAAACGCGCGATTATTGTGGGTATTTTTGGAAAACATCCATGCACTTAATTTTTCATCTGTGGAAAAATTCAGCTTGTTGTAGAACCCCCCCCCCCCCACGCCCACCCCTCAATCCCCCATAACACCAATTTACGCTTTTCACAGTCTCGTACGACGCTTTTCTGTGGGATGCGAAGGCCGCACTTCTATAGGTGTTAATGTTGCCATGCTGCCCCCTCACTCAGTCAGTCACGCGCCGAGAGCCTCGGCATATGCAAGATTCCTTAAGGAGCGCCGGAAAAAACGCTGCTGCTGCTGCGAACGCTCGCTCGCTCGCTCACTCGGCTGTGGGTAGTACTTTGAATGTGAAATCATTGTTTTCCCCCCTCCTAAGCACATCGTTTAAACCTGCCTTAAAATATTCCCGAGCAGCCATTAAGGACTTAAAGACACCCAAAGCAAGAGACGCCACAAAAATCTCGCCGGGAGTTTTTTTTGTCTTACAGACAGTTCATGTCCTGTCTGCTTTAGACGTAGTTGCATGTCCTTCTTCGCTCCCTGCGGCCTACTTTAACCGTCCTTGCCTCAAAATCTTATATTGGCTACCTCGGGTTCCCTATTTTAGAATTAAGAATCCATCAATTCAGAGATTATTATTGTTTATTTTTTTCTCACATGACGAGGCCACAGATGTTCTGAACTTAATTTCTAAGGCATGGCTTTTGGAAGACACATGTCAAAAAACACAGTGAGGCTCTTTTATGCGCGTTTGCATCTTCCGAGCAGCGGTGTCACAACCAGTCAGGGAGGGAGGGGCACTGAGCACGGCCCTGTTTAGGAATGAGACACTAAACCCTTTTCTGCTCATGAATATGAGCGTAAATGCCCGCTAACAGGGTACGGTTCACTCGAGTTTACAGATCTGGCTCGCTGAGTCAGGATTATGGCTGTGGTGACATCGTGAAGGATGAACCTTTCTGTCTCCAGTCATGTTTCAGGAAGACCGTGAAACTGATCTTTTCTTTCTCTCTCTCCGCCTCTCCTGCCCTCCACCTTCGCTCGCCTTCTCCTCCGGTAGAGATGGACGGCCTGTCCGACCTCTCTCCACCCGGCTCCAACCACAGCCACAACCACAACCACAACCACCTGGGCTTCTCCCAGCAGCAGCAGCCCATCCCCGGCAGCACGGCCGAGCAGACCCCCTCCTCGCCCGTGCCCCCGTTGCCCCACGCCCCGCCGCAGCACGCCGGCCAGCCCGGCGGCGGCCGACAGCCCCAGCTGCCCGGCATGCACCACCCGGGCCTGGTGTCCACGCCCATCAGCCCCCAGCTGGTCAACCAGCAGCTGGTGATGGCGCAGATCCTCAACCAGCAGTACGCGGTGAACCGGCTGCTGGCGCAGCAGTCCCTGTCGCAGCAGTACCTCAACCACCCGCCGGTCAACCGCAACTCCCACAACAAGCCCATGGAGCCGCAGGTGTCCTCCAACACCGAGGTGTCCATGGAGATCTACCAGTGGGTGAGGGACGAGCTGAAGCGGGCCGGCATCTCGCAGGCCGTCTTCGCCCGCGTGGCCTTCAACAGAACCCAGGTGAGGAGCGGAATGCAGTCATTTTATGGGTTCCTTGTTAATTAGTTTTAATTCGGTCAGTTTGGAGTCCCTTTAGGAACAAATGCAAGGTGTGTAATGGAAAAGTCCATCCAAACACTTGGAGATCGAAGATTCCGCAGCAACATATAAGAGAATACTTCACGTCAACCAAGTTACGGAACTAGTGATTTTTCTACTAAGGCGCACTAAGAAAGGCACCTTGTTTGAATTTGTTAACGTCCCAGAGTTCAAATCTCATTCATACTTCTCACCCCGGTAATCCAGCTCCTTTACCGTACTTCAGGACAGCTGGCGCTCTGCCATGATGGGAAAGACCCGGCTTGGTCGCGGCGTGCGCTCTCTGCCTGCCAAAATATGTTGTTCTGCTTCTCACACACACACACACACACACACACACACACACACAGAGAAGGCAGCGATTATGTCTTAAGACGTACCGCCTGCACTACATTGGGGGCGGAGGTGAATAAACCTCATCACAGCTCCATTTGCTATGAAGTCGCTGTGTATGAAAAATAAAATAATATAAACTGATTAGGATCTATCAGAATTAGAACGTGCATCAATTCCAAAAGTAGACGTGTGTGTGTGTGTGTGTGTGTGTGTGTGTGTGTGTGTGTGTATGCGCGCTATATGGTGAAGTCATACAGTTTTCATGCGAGCTCCCACACAAACTTGAGTCTTATCTGTGGCTCATATGAGGAATTACTCCCAATATGCTGTTGGAGAGTTTGCCTTTGGAGGGTTAATTATTAGGCTTGTTGTTTTTTTTCTTCTTTCAAACGAGTCTGTGTTAATAAAAGTAAGGGGGGGGGGGGGGGTGTCGAGGAGCGTGGATTCTGGAGGGCGGATCATGGGATGAACCGAAGGGTTTTTATTAAAAGAGGCACTTGGGCGAAGGAGCTAATTGAACAAAAAGAGAGCGATAAAAGGGGTGGAAGGTGACGACTGATAAGCATGCACACGCCGCACACACACACACACACACACACACACACACACACGACGCGAGTCGCCTTCGCCATAAGATGTCAATCTGAGTCACATTTCACCCGAGTATCTGTTCATACCTGTCCGGATACCACAAGACAGCTCGCCTCGTTCCCCAACTGGAGCTCTGAAAATAAATAAAAGCGCAAGCACGTCCCCCCCCCCCCCCCCCGCCCCTCGTCCCCCCAGCACCTTCTTTTATTACCCAATCACACCCATTGATGGTGAGAGAAGCGGAGCGATGGTTCGCTCAGTGTGTGGCCAAGAGCTGATGAAAAGGCCCAATCACGCGTCTCTGATAATGGACTCATCGGCGTCTCTCGATGACGAGAGTTGCGCGCCAATGAAAAGTAAACAGAGGATGCACTGATTGCCGACTTTCAGATCCGAATTATACACACAGCTCTACAGCGATGACGGAAAGCAGAGAGAAACCGCGATGGAGGTGTGAGGAAGGTTAACAACAAGTAGTAAAAAGAGGGACATCTCCAGGTCGGGAGACCCTCCACTTAGAAGAATCCTCTAATGTGGTCATTGTCCTTGCTTCACCCCCTTCCACCCGACCGCCTCCCTCACCCGGAGCTGCTGACTCACTTTTCCTCTCTTTTTCTGCCCCATCTCCTCCTCCTACACTTCACCGCCACGCAGGGTCTGCTGTCCGAGATTCTCCGCAAGGAGGAGGACCCCAAGACAGCCTCCCAGTCGCTGCTGGTCAACCTGCGCGCCATGCAGAACTTCCTGCAGCTGCCGGAGGCCGAGCGCGATCGCATCTACCAGGAGGAGAGGGAGCGCAGCCTGACGGCAGCCTCGGCCATGGGCGCCCCCCCGCTCATCAGCACCCCGCCCATCCGACCAGTACAGGTACCTGAGGTTCCCCTTCCCTCAGAAGGGCATTTGTTAGGAGACCTCTTTAAAGGCAGAGCTGCTCTACGGTCAGAAAAAGGAACAATTAGAAGACATTTGAATGCACAAAGAAGTTTGTAGCTTTCTACTTCATTCACATTGGGCTTTATATCGTTGTAGCGCCACCGCAGCACGAGGCTAATGTGCCATCGCAATATAAAGCAGCATTATGTCATCCTCTTTCCAAAAGGTAACAATCACGGAGAGAACAACTGGAAATGATTTTACAAACAAGTGTCTCACGTCGCTGGAAAGGAAAAAGCTTCAGCATTCGTTCAGTGTTCTCTTAACATCAACAAGCGCAATCAGCGGTGGAAAAGACGGACGGTCGTAGTTCCCAGAGTCAAATATACAACCTTGTGACCAAACGGGCATTCAAGTTTGCCGGCTTGCTAATTTGCTAATGCAAAAAAATATATATTGTCGCTGCTTCTCCAATTCAAAAGGGACATTTGTGTAACCGCAGAGACATTTCTGCACCGAGTCCGGAGGCCGAATAGAAACAGGCAAATCTCTCCGTTGGAGATGGAGTTCAGAAAGAAGTGTGTTGTGATCGGTGCGAGCCGGTCCTCCTCTCCGCTGAGAGGTTCAACCAAGTGTTGCTCACGATTTATATGTGCAAATGCCTCAAGACACATTGTGACAACACAAACGCACATTGTCTCCTGCCACGCGCTGCACCCCCCCCCTCCATTGTATCAGGCCGCTGGCGGCCCACTCGCTCTGACATTCTGCGGGCGTGTAAACGTCGTCCCCGCCGCTCACCACCCAGGTGAGGAACGCCGCGCCGCGGACGGCGGATCATTTTTTGTGCTAATTCTGACCTTTTCGCCCGCGCGACGGGCGGCATTAACGGCGCTCGCATTTCAGAAGCGGCGCTCACTCAGCGGCGACGAGCTCCGCGAAAGATCAAACGGCGGTTTAAGTCGGACCCGCCCCCACCCCCCCGGAGTGGGAAATCGCCGCGTTCTCCACCCTCGCGAGCGAATCCGTGTCCTTCATTTAAAAAAATGTGGCAACTTTGTAGCACTTAAGCACTGTTTGAAGTGCGCGCTGCCGCGTATGAAAGCGACACCGGCCGGCAAAAGGTCGTCTGTGTGAAGATCTGGCTCTTTATCTCGGAGGAGAGGGAAGAACGAGCGAACCAGCGAGCCCCCACGCCTCCAACACGGAGACCTCCCCCCGTGGAACTGCTCCGCATGTCGCCAGTGGCCAAACCAGAAAGAGAAAGAGTGGCATTCTGAAGCAGCGGTGCTGGACTTAAACGGCGCTTCTTTACAATCAGGGGCTGTGTCGGGGGGGGTTCACAAGAACTTTAAGTCCATGGTTAAAACTACGGGCCGGAACTTTAAAGAGAATAACTTCTTCTCATATTTGCTCTAACTGACTCCTTTCCGAGCGGCTGTCAATCAATCAGCGGCTCCTCATTTTGCAACCAAAAAATGATCCTGAAGAGCTGCCTGGTTTAACGGTTTGATGGGAGGACGAGCTTTTGATTGACAGCTTACAAATCCCATTTGGGACAAGTATTCAGAGGAACCAGATTTTTCCACAGATTAACTGTCTCCTGAACTGCTGGTAGGTTGTTTTTAAGTTTCCATCTGTAGCTCGACTGTCCCTGCAGAAGAAGATCCGTCTGAGCTGAACAAACTATTTCAAAGCGCGGCCCAAACGCACGTTTGGCGGTTTTCTCTGTCAAACAACCGTTGACAAATCAAAAGAATACCTCCACCTGTAAGACCTCCACCCGTCAACATCCGTCACGCGGGCCCGTTCTCAGTGACGCAGGCGCTCACACACCTCACACACCTCACACACTTCGTACTCCTGGCCATCTGCCAGCCGCTCCGACGGAGCAATGCGCTGCGAATCTAAGCACATAAATCAGACAGGGTGGCAATTGAGCCAGAGACTGAGGAGGGGTTTTATTGGCCTCATAAAAACAGATGCGGAGGTATGTTCCTCTGACGTGTGCTGATGGGTCGGCGCGACAGAACCCCCCCCTTCACCTCCACGAAGCCAGTTAGCGCACGTCCCGGCCTTGACAATTAGCTCGACGTGGCACTCAGACCGACGAGCCCGCGCTGTAAAAAAAAAAAAAAAACAGAACTGATGAAAGGCCCAGAGACGCTCCGGCATTCGGGTTTCACCGCAAATCTTTAGTATTACGCGGTCGTCTTTTGACACACGCAGCAGCTCTTATTAGGCGTCTAGACAAATACTTGAATATATGGGGCTTTTTCTGTTTGAATCGCAGACCGTGGGCCGCGAGTTAGTAGCTGTTATTATAGTTTATTTGAATTCTGTGCGCTTGTGCTCACACAACCGCGCCGACGTGTCCTTTGAAAAGCCTCGTATGGAATGATTCATATGCAAATAGTTGGTGGGTAATGCTTTTATTAGGATACTTGTTAACTTGTCAAAGGATTCTTGTCAAGATGCAACAAGCCGCTGAATGGAGATGATTTGATTTCCCTTGACTTGCATTTATTTTTTGAATCACCAGCTTGACGTAAGAATAATAGCATTCTTCACAACACATCACAAGTGTTTTTGAGCAAAGTAACGCAGGAGCCAAACGTGGGTGTAATCTACACCCCAGCATGTGTGTGTGTGTGTGTGTGTGTTTAGCCGGATTACCTTTCTCTTTTCCCCGTGTGAGCCTGAGCAAATATCGCCTGTGTTGTGTTCCTGTCGCAGCAGCCCCGGAGGGAAGACTGTAGCAGCGTGAGGCCCGAGGACTGGAATCCCAGGATCCCCGTGGGCCTGTCCCCTGTGAGCAGATAACACCACCCACCTCACCTCTCCACCTCCAGCAATCTGACTGCACACATTGTCACTGACAATACACCCACTTGAGGCTTATTTTCCCCCAACAGGCAATTAATTGCCGTTCTCTTTCAAGTGAAAGGCTAATATTCACATTTTTATCATTTTTTTTGTTTGTCTAATACCAGCAAGATTTGAATGACATTAAATGTTGTAATTAGCTCTGGGTTGTTTCTCTTATTTTGTTATAAAGACACCTCGGGCTGCTCAGTAACAGATGAGCGGGGTTTAGTATGCTAAACGTTGATCTAGTCCATACACACAACAATGTTTTGCTAAAATGTTCCTCTGCCTTTCACTCGCTGAACCAGGTGAAACCGTCGCCTCTGCCCAGCGAGTGGAACGGCAAGACGGAGAGCTGCATCCTCAACATCAACTCCACCATCTACGACGAGATCCAGCAGGAGATGAAGAGGGCCAAAGTGTCCCAGGCGCTGTTCGCCAAGGTGGCCGCCTCCAAGAGCCAGGTACCCGTACGCGCAGCGAGACGCTTTATCGCCGCCACCGCCGTCGTCTTCCCCCACGAAACAGCGTTTAAAACGTGGACGCTAGAGGCATACAACGCCATGCCATTCGTGGCGTTGATAGAAGGAGCTGTGAGGCGTGGACTCCCTTAACGCGGGTTCGGGGTTTTAGCAGTCGGCGCTTGTTTGGACACCAAACAGACCTGTTTACGTTGGCTGCGATGAGTAAGACGATGGGCCCCTGTTCCCTTCTCCCAGAGAGCCGAGCGCTCGCACAATACCCGCCTCTGTGTTGGAAACACACCACCAGTTTAACTGTGTATTAAAAGCAATTTTAAAACGCAGCACTGAGGAGTTATTGTTAAAGGTTGTCACGTGTCTGTCGGAGGAGTTGGGAAGATTTCTACAATTGTGCTTGATGAAGAGGATGGGTGTGTGTGTGTGTGTGGGGGGGGGGATAGATCACCAAGGGCGGAATAATCTCAAAATATCTGCAAAGGCTTTACTTTTTTCTTGCTGATTAGGATGATTATACCCTCTGTATAGCTTTGTTTTACCAAATTGGCATTTGGAGCCACAACCCCCTGTTTTGTTTCAGAGTTTCAAAGCCTCCTCAGAAGGAAAAAGGGGGGGGGGGGGGGGCGACTCGCACACGTCTCCCTCCTCTCAAATGAAGGTTTGTCAGGGAACAGGTTTCCACCGGGCCTTTTCCACCTCACTGCCGTCTTTCTGTCTTGCCGCCCCCCCCCCCCTCCCACCACCGCCACCTCTCCTGATTTCTGCCCCTCTTTTCACGTTCCATTCATGGCAGGCGGGTGTGAATGTGAATCGAGCAGCAGATAAGAAGTGTGCTAATTATGCCTGTGAAAGGGGGCCTGGGAGAGCACTTATCTCTGGCTCCATCTCGTAATGGGCGCTCCCCGGGCAGCTGGTCCCACCCCTCCCCCCCTTCCACTACCCAGCCGCCATCGCCACATCCAGCGGCAGCGCCAGGCCGGACCGGGCCGCGCTCCTCCCCTTCCAGCACGCCTTTAACCCTGAGAAACCACTGACCGGCACCCACTCGCCGCTCGCTTAAAAGCTCTTTCAAACTTCTCCATTTTCATTCAAAGTGGGTCAGTGTGGTTTAATGTTTATGTCTTTGCGTGGGCAGATCATTGTCGAGCGATTTCACTTCCCAGGATTCGTGTGGAGGTCTTTTCTCTTTAACGTTATATCTGTGGTCCCTCCCACACATATAAGCCGTTGTGCTATTGTGCTGATGGCGGTGGAGCTACAACAATTTATTGTTGATTCATTGACCAGCTGATCAACTGATTTTGGCATCTTATAAATTAGCGTTCATAGCGCTCATCCTTTGTTCATTGAAAGTTAAATATGTTTAGATTTGGACGTTTTATCAACCAGCCAATTGATCCAGAAGAGAATCGGTGGAAAAATAAGCGTTGGTTGCGGCCGTGACTACTGTTGGTGGAATGGATTTGAGGTGTTGGAGGTAAAACCCACACGTGATTACTTCCTGCTGCCACAGTCACTGCGGCGGAGTTCGCTCCTTCAGTAAAAACGGCAAACTGTGTTTTTCAAACGACGCGGCTGGAGGCCAGAGAGAACGACCCTAAGCGAGCGCCGCGCCAGAGGAGGCGGCTTGGAGTGCAGCCAGCCTGTGGCTGGGGGGTGGGGGGGGGCGAGTGTGGAGGATGGGCCGGGCTGGCAGCGCGCCCCTTATGGGGTCCAGGGAAATAATGGCAGGGGGGGAAGGGAAGAGGCCTCACTGGCAGCGTCCCGCCGGCTCGGGGGTTTCCCAGCGTGCTTACGCAAGCACAGGATCAGGTGACTGGTATCTGTTGGTCCCGGTCCATCACCCCCCCCCACCACCACAACCACCATGTACAGCATGAGGGTGTTAGTGTGCAGCGCCTCACTCACAGACGGGCTGATGCTGAAGATGACGAGGAGGGAAGAAGAGCAGTTCAAGGAGGTTAAGGAAGTTCACAACGAGATTGGTGCACGCTCCACTGAACTCGACGCCTATTGCTGTGTGTTTCTGCACACTGCATAGAGATGAGGGTTTATGTGAAGGCACATTAGAATGTGTGCGTTGGGGGGGGGGGGGGGGTCCTGGAACACAGCCATCCAGCCCTCTCTTAGGGCTCGTAACCATCACCCCCCGCCCCCTCACATATTCAATGTTGCATTTCAATCACTCTTTTACTGCCACATATTCAAAGTAGTAACTACGGAGCGGTGAATCCCGTATTACTTCATCAGATTGACTGGTCGCCATTTCACTTCAAGGCCGGCGTACATATTTTTGAAGTAATCCGCGCAGCAATTCTGATTTATCGGGACAGATATTGCACCCAGTGTTTGATGAAAATCCAAATCATTATTCACGACCTCGTTGCCTTAGGGCCTCAAACCGATCGAACTCTCCGTTCCCGTCGGACCTGAAAAAAACCCCCAAAAACAACATGCGCGTCGCCGGCTGGAATCCAGCGAGGAGACGAAGCGCCGTCCGACCAAACGGGCCCTTTTCATTCCCGGCCCCGCGGAAGGCGGCGAGCTCTGATCTGCGGCCTTGTTTTCACTGGCACTGACAGGGGAGGCTCGCTGTGTCGGCTCAGCCTGGCGGCTCGTGTTCAGATGAGGGATGGGAGGTGAGCCGAGGCGTGGGCAGGGGGGGGGGTCGTCCCTCTGACACGGCTTTCATGTCCAAACATCCACGACACTTCCTGAGAGGAATTGCGTGACGGACAAAAAAAAAGGGGGAAGAATCAGAGTCCCTGCTGTCACAAAACAAGCACCCTGGGAGCGCCGCGCGCCACAGGGCTCAAAGCCCTCCGACTCCTCAATGACCAGAAGAGTGCAGAGCGCCGTCTCGCCGCCGCCACCAACGCCGCCCTCCCTCTCCCTCTCCCACATTGCCCATTCTCCCCTGGAAGAGGCTACGCTAATTAGCCAGGCTCTAATGAGACAGAATGGCACTGATCTGGTCCGCCGCTGCGCCACCGGGGGGCGGCGGGGGAAGGGGGGGGGGGGGTGGAGGCCAGGCAGGGGGGCTGGTGCAGTAGGGGAAGGGAGGTTGGTGTATGCCATCTGTCGCCCTGCACCCGCCTGGCACGGGAGTCCCTGGAGTGGAGAGTGGGAGAGGAGGGAGGGGGGGGTGACGGTGGGAGGAGGTGAGTGCCTGGTTGGTCTGGAGAGGTGGGGGGGGGGGGGGCGGTGGTAGTGATACGAGTAGGAAGGGAGGGTGACAGTGTTTGGAAAATGACTAATTTCCTGTTCATGGTAGAATCCCATTAGTGGTCGTACATGTTTTATGGCGGCTTGAACGCTTTTCTTTGCTTTAATCTCTGATGTTTAGCACATGACCCGCCCAAGCAGACTAGACCAACGACACACACACACACACACACACACACACACACACACACACACACCGGGCACTTCAATGATTCCGCTCCATCCAGTGGCTGCTGAACAAAGGGGGCAGATGGCTGACCTTTTTGTGTGTCTGTCTCTGGATCACTACTGAGAAGCTACTCGGGGTCGGCGAGCTAGAAGTCATGTCTTTTTTTTTTTTTTTTGCACACAGAGTTGTTTACAAATGGCATCAGATGACATAATAAAACACGGATACAGTGTCGGAGTCCTCTGATACCTTTTGACTATCTGGAGCTGTCTCGGTTCCGCTTCACTTTTCAGAAGTTGTGGTTTCCGTGCGTCTTTGTTCCGTTCGTAGATGAACGGTTCTCCGCACTTATCTCAGGCAGATCGGAGCCAGCTTAACCCCCGAGGGACTCGAAAGGGCCGTGTCTGTTTATTAATTGATTTATTTATTTATCTCATGTGCCTGCTTGGTTATTAGGTTGCCATGGGAAACAGGGCATGCCAGACCCTCTATTATTAAAGACACAATTTCTTGAACTGGAGACCCAGCTGTCTGAATAATTAATTTAGCGAATGAGTTATCTTGCAAACGCTAAGTCTTCCCCCGCCCTCTGAAATGAGCCTTTCGCTTATTGTTTAATGGACAGTGGAATTCCCACCAGCCCGTCTTCTCTGTTTCATCGAGCCCTCCTCCTCCTCCGAGCGGGGGGACGCCGGGGGTCTCACTGAGCATGCCCAGAGCACTCTCTCTCACTTACGATTTACATGCCACCTCTCACCCCATCTGTCTGCAATTGCGCAACCCGCTCCCTCCTCTTCGGGGTCCGGACCAGGAAGCCGCTCCCGACTGTCAGGACTCCAAATTGTCTCTTCGTCACCTCTAATGCATTGTTACAAGACAAATGTTTTTTAGTTTTTTTTTTTACCGCGCAGCGCGTGTCAGCCAATTAGCCGAGTTAGCACCTTGCTAGCCCTTTCTGGGAGCGTCTCTCAGGGGCTCAATCTAGGAGCCGCATGCCGACCCTCGCCCGCCTCGCCCTTTGGCCGCTTGTTAGCGAACGCTCCCTTAGTCCCAGTGACGGGCACGGCTCGCCGCTCGCTCGCTCGCTCTTTCCTTCCTCCCAAACGTTTCGCCAGCTCGCCCTCTCCCGCTGTCTGCGCTCCTCCTGACAGACCACACAGGGCTTGTTCTGAGGCCCATTCTCTCTAATCTGATCAGGCAGGCAAATACGCCGGGAAAAGCGCTTTAATGATCCCCCTAATTACCTCAAGTCAATACCAACTGTATTATTAGACTAGGGGAAAATATTCCATTAGGGTGCCCCCCGTGGGAGTCCCCCCTGTGCGCGCCGGTGTCACGCGCCGCGCGCCCTCTACGCTTGTAATTAATTTTATTTACACACTCAGGAATGCACAAGGTCGCACCTGCAGCCCGGAGCCGCCCGCCTCGGCCCGCCTAATCAGATCTGTCATAATTATCATTCTGCATGCTTCTGACACACGCCGGGAAATATTTCAATTTAACTGCAGCCACTGGCTCCGGCAGATGCAGCCTGAGAGGATCGAGTCTAGGGGAATAGCACGGGGAGACGTTAGGACTCATGCTGCTGCTT